TTCTAAAGTACTATTAAGATTACAATACTTTTAACCTCTAAATTTAATTAAATTTTTTAAAATAATTTGTCTGGAAGTTTCTGAGTCATAATTTGGATTTAGACATGTATATTTTAAATAAAAAACCAAAAATTTTATGGGATCAAATTTTCAGTGCTACTTTTTAGCAAAAGTTCCTAAAGTCGTTAGCTGCGGTTTGAGGCTCTAGTTCGCTCGTTTCTTCTAGCACGGCTTGCATCTTCTTTGTAGCCAACTCTTGTGGTTTTTCTTTCCTCCGTGCTTCCGCCTCGCTCATCAGGCGTGCCTCGCGCCTTATAATCTATATTGAGAATGCGTTAAAATTGTAAATTCAAACAAACGTTTTCGCACATTTTGTGCATCTTCAGGATCACTCTTGTACAAAATGATCAAAGATTGTGCCAGTCGGTCATATTTGGAAGTTTTACCTTGAGAAAAGCAAGAGCACTTAATTTTGGGGTGAAATTTAATTTTTCAAAAATTCGAATGGAGCCTGTCATGCACGATTCTCTCGCGATAACTGAAAACCGAAAAAGAGAAATCAGAACGATCGAGTAACAATCGCGGGAAAGTTGCCAGATAAAACAATGGGAAATTGCTATTCGCAATTTCCGTCACAATAAAACTATAGTAGAGCTGTCCCATCTGAAACAGAGACAAGCGTATTCCCGAGAACTGGACTATCATTACTCGATTGGATTGTTATTCGAACTGGACTAGAGTGAACCTTCGGTGGAAAGGTGGACTGCTTGAGTGTCCCAATTGTTCACGAGAAGCTATATTCTAGAGTTAAAACTTGTCCTTGTTATTGAAACTGATAAACATTAAACTCATTTAGTTACATTATTTAATTCTCGAGTTGCTGACCGACTTAATTACTCCCAGTTCTTGAGCGTGCTACGATGTGAGTACTTAATTTAAATTTCTAGAGTGTGTTTTATGATTGTTATGTTGAGGTAAGGCGAGTTTTAGGTTGATCCATCTGAAATGGATCAAAGTTCCTCTGTCTAATAAAAAATAACTTAACGGATTGTTCCGACCCGGTTTTTAACGGCGTTCATGTATTTTGGGTATCTAGAGACCTAAGTATGGGGACGTTCTTATTTCTAGAGTGGGGGGGATATTTTGGTAGTAGCCTTTAAGCTGTAACGGGTCGTAGTCTCATGTCACAAGCGAACCGAATTGGCTCCGACTGATTTGAGGTAGAAAAACACAAGAGATAGTGTCGTTGACTCTTGAGCCAATGGTTATAGGGCCTATTTTTCTTAAGCCTCATGTGTGACTACAGTAGACGAATGTTACTGATCATAAAAAGTGTCACACACATCATTACTTTAAAATTTTAAAAATTCAACCAATCAAAACTTTACAAATATCACTGAAATTATGTAACAACTATTATGTAACATTTTAAAACATTTTGCCACAAATTTCTGAGAGTTTTCTCAATTTTTATTTTCACATTTTCGTTTTGTGGCAAATTTTTATGCTAACATGTATAGCTAACAAAATATCAATATGTATCTTTGCGGTATACTATACCTCGGGATGTCATAATATTATATGCACTAAAATTGGCTGTTATAAACGCGAAATACATGATATTGTACAGGAAAAAGGGTTTACAGCGTATATGGACTGTGTCTGCCGACTTTGTAGGCTCCAGATCGTTGATGAGGATCACATACGACACTGCATCTCCTTTCCAGAAAGCCAGGATCTTCCTGGAAGACTCATCAATATCAGGTTGCCGCCCAAGCAACTGTGACATCGCGCTTCTACGTGCCAAGACTCTTGACTTGACTGACTCTTAACACATTCCATGAGCACTTTAATTATACTTTTCATATTTGTCTTTGTAAGACGTACAATTTACCAATTTACAATTACAATTACAAAATATCAATAGCTAATAAAATATCAAAAATTGCATGACTTATAATGAATGGGCTGAATGAAACGAAATTTTGAAGGGCCTGCCAAGTCAGATCCACGTGCAGGTGGATGACGAGTTTAGATTGCAGTTTAGTTTTAGAATGACAAGGATATCAGCAGTTTACAGATACACTGTCTGAAAAACGATCTAATACCGGACTTTTTGAAGTTTAGGGTCCCCGAGAACGGGGTTTTTTCGGACCAAGCTGTGCATAATTTTCAATTGAAACTACTAAGGACTGAAACTTCTAGGGCAAATGAGGATAGGAAAAGGTACGAGGAGATGCTAAGGAAAGCGAGATCACTGGTGCAAAAAGAAATTGACAAACAGTGGTGGGCATCCATTTTCCGATTCGTGAGGCGGCAAGTTGAGGCAAGCTTAAAGACAACATCAGAAAACCATAGAAAAAAGTTAGAAAAACTGTCCGAGAGACAAGATAAACCTCTTGGGGGGAGAAATGAGCGATCAGTTAGGGTACTTGATAATATTGAACTGCCTGAATGGGTATATGAAGTGCTATCAATGGGCCCCAAGCATCCAATTAGAGACAAATTTAACGAAACACATTTTTTGGCGGATATCGACATTTTCCTCTCACAATTGAAAAATCAAAAAACATCTGGTGAAACGTTATGTGAAATAGAAGCCGCGGCAAAGGCATATGCAAAAAACGTACGGCAAACCCCAAGAGACAAAGCCGTTGAAAAAACGAGGAAATATCTCAAAGATAATGGGTTGCTGGCTGTGCCTTTTGATAAGGGGGTTGGTTTTTGCATAATGAGGAAACAAACATATGAATCAAAGCTGGAATCCTTGTTGCAATCTGCTCAGTTTGTGAAAAAAGATGCAACCACTGATGAGGTGATACTGAAAATTGAGAAAGAACTTAACAAAGAGTTACTAGCCATGAACAAAAGAGACGAGATAAGTGATCAGTTATATTCTAAGATACGATCAACAGGGGGGCAACCCGCCCGTTTGTACGGTTTAGCTAAGGTACACAAGGATGAGACACCCCTACGACCTGTACTATCACTTCCCGGCAGCTCGTATGAGAATCTTAACAAAATGCTTGCGAAGTTTTTTGACAACATCGATGGAGCAAATATAGAAACCAATACTAAAGAGGCTAGAGAAAAAATAGAAAACATTGCTCTAGATCCGGATGAAACCATAATATCTCTTGATGTGAAAAAATTGTACACCAACGTTCCCCTGAAGGAGGCAATTGAAATTGCTTTACAGAAGCTGTACAGCCAGGAGTCTCCTCCTGAAATTCAAAGAGCAACCATGAAAAGGCTTTTGAATATGGCGGTCAGCAAAGTATATTTCAAGTGTAATGATTCATGGTATGTACAAGTTGATGGTTTAGCAATGGGAGCGTCCCTCGCTGTAATTCTGGCAAACTTATGGCTGAAAGAATACGAATTTGCTCTACGACAACAAATACCGGTGGGAACGGGGGTACAGCAAATTAATGACAAAAACGGCTTGTGCCCATGTTGCAGCAGGAAAGTCACATATAGATCAAAGGGGGTTGAATGCGAGAGTTGCCGAAACTGGTATCATCTAAAATGCGGAAAAATATCCGATGACGTATACGCATCAATAACCGAGATAGTCTGGTACTGTGAAAGCTGCTGCCGAGCTAAGAACAAGGAGAAGGATACTCCCCAGGTGAAATTGTTCCTCAGGTATGTGGATGACATTGTTAGAACAGTCAGAGGGGAGCCGAGTTGTCTTCTCGATGCCGCCAATTCTCTTCATCCAAATTTGCAGTTCACTCTAGAGAAAACTAATTCGGAGGGGAATTTGCCGTTCCTGGATTTGAACATAAATATATCGCAGGATAGGCGTGTAACTTGCAGTTGGTATCAAAAACCAACAGATACAGGGACTATACTGAACTATAGAAGCTGCGCCCCAACTCAGTATAAGCGTAGTGTTATCCAAGGCACTGTACACAGGGTTTTTAGGTGTACATCTAGCTGGGAGCAATTTGATAAGGCTATGGAAACTAATAGGGCGCAATGGCTGACAAATCAGTACCCTGAAAATTGGTCCGCAAAGGTGGCTTCAGACGCCTTGTGCAAGATCATCGAGGGTAAAGGCAAGCCCCTGGATAGTGACAGGGGTTTGTCAGTTCAATCACCAAAGGATGAAAAGCCCCCAATGCTGATGGTGCAATATAGAGGTAACCAGAGCCAATATTTTGCTAACAGGTTACGAAAATTAACGAACGTTCAAGTGGTTTTCACCACAAGAAAACTACAATCATGTTTACCATCACTGAAGTCAGCATTTTCTAATGACCTCAAGTCAAGAGTGGTTTATAAACTGTCATGTAGTGGATGCACTTCCACCTATGTCGGACAAACTGTTCGACATTTGACCACTAGAATTGAGGAACATAGGAAAGCAGACTCACCGGTAGGCCTCCACCTTCAGCAATGCCAACTTGAGGGAAATAGCGCAGATCTTAGTTGGGAAATTATAGATAGGTCAAACAACCAAACAAAATTGCTAACACTAGAGGCAATACATATCAGGAAAGAGAAACCGGGCTTGAACACGCGCGATGAGTTTAGGAGCAGGGAGTTAACACTGAAAATTTAGTCCCAAAATATTTTTGGTTTTTTATTCAAAACGTACATGTCTAAATCGAAATTATGACTCAGAAACTTCCAGACAAATTAATTTTAAAATGTTTAATTAATTTTAGAGGTTAAAAGTATTTTAATCTTAATAGTAATTTAGAGGTCAACTGTGATTGGCTAATTTTTTATCATGATGGTTTAGAACCAAATTGTATGTGATTTATTGTAAATAACATTTGTAAATTGATGTTTTATCGTCATTTAGAGTAGTTTATTGTAAAAATCCTGACGATGCACATAGTTGCGAAAACGTTTGAAATTTACTTTTTAGCAAAAATTTCTTTACAGATACACTATTTAAAGCAAATAAAGTGTTCTTTCGTCCTTTTCTTTGGCATTTTGACGTTTTCTCAGGGGTATATCGATAGTTTCGTAGGTTTACTGAAAGTAATAAATGTTTTGTTTTCCAGGATTAAGGTATGTCTGACCTTGAATATTCAAGTAGTGGCAATGAGCAGTTGGGCGAGTTGACCTTTTATACCTGTTATGATGATAATAGCTGCTTTCCCGATAAGAGGCATACAAAAGAGCCAATTTGGAGCTCAAGTTTGTCAGAGAGAGAAAGGACATGGAAAAGCATGCAATCGGATAAATCCAGTTACCAGAAAATCATTTGCCTTGAATCTGACAATGACCAAGATACTGTAAGCATTGAAAGCAGTGACTTAGATGACGAAATAGATGTAAATTTGAGTCCACTGCCATTACGAGAGAGATTGCTTAACCCTAACAACTGTTGCAAAGAAAATAATACTTCCAACACGACAGGTAATCAGAAAAATTATGAGGAAGAAAACGTCGCGGAAAAGAAAAAGAAGTTAGACAAGGAGAATGTTGACGATGTTTTCAACTGTTCGGCAAAACCGTTACTGAGCTCAACTCGTCTTGATAACGAACATGTCAAAGGTTCTAAGTTAAGAACTGGTAATTTGTCATTAAGCACATTTGAACGCACCGTTCAGCGGCATTCAATTTCGACGACTGATGAAAGTGACGCTGATGCTGCGCTCGAAGATTGTAAGTATAAAAAAAAAATTTTTTCAGACTGCAAAGTTTACTAAAAACAAAGTTGAAGTCTGTCCCATGTCCGTGTGCCTTACATTATTTCAATATGTGCACTACCAATAGTGTGCTCGAATTATTTTTCGAATGGTTTGTACAGGAACTGAAAAATTAAACAAATCTGAAACACAACCATTTTTCAGTATTCATCAGAGTGAAAACTCCGAAAGGGAAGTCAATTTCTGTAACTTCAACGAGCAAGTTAGTAACTATTGATTTAGAATAAACACTACAAATTGGATGGAAAAGCTTATATTGCTTTGCTTAGAACGAAAAAGGATACCGTCAAGAAACATACCGATAAACTTCCGCGACGCTGTCAATCAAGTAGCAACCCGATTATGAAAACCGTTGAAGACGATTTAGCAGACCAACTTCAGAATGTAAATATTCAAGAGAAACCTGATTTGAAAACGCCCAAGGCGTCACGCTCGAAATCAACGAACACGCCTGGGCTATTGCAATCAAGTTCTAAGAATAAATGCTGGTTTTTGACCCAGGATAAAATTGACCCGAGTCGCTATGCGGAGTATATTGGAGATTTCCACTTCATGAGCAACAGACAGCTGCAGCTGAACAGAGACAAGCAAACCAGAATGTTGTTCACAGTTTTCAACGAAACTGTTTTTGAAAATATGGTTTGTTCTTAAATTTCATGTTGGTTTAAATGGCATGTGTTTCGTCATCGAGTTGATGAATGAAGTTTTACTTTTATTCGTTTAGGTCGCGTGATATCTATTCGTTCGTTAAATGAAGTGAATTTATCCACGCTTACAGTTATCTGGATTTGTCCATGCTAACAGCTTTGTTTTTGTGGTTTGATTTAATTTCTTTTGTTCCATGCAAACTTATTACGCTTGCGTTAAGCAAGTGTGTTGCAACCGGTTACTAGACTTTTTTCCCGTAAAAAAATTTTGGTCACAGAATGGTAAATGTTTAGAAAGAAGTTTGAAATGTTAAATTTACAAATATGCAGCGTATTTGTTTTTGCCTGTATAGGGCTACCATTGTAGCAGGTAGATGCAAATCTTTTTATGATTAATTTACTGAACATATATACATATATACATTTTTTGGCTGTATATAACGTGGCGAGTTGAAAGTGGTGTCGTTTGATAGGACATTAAGGCAATCAATAACGTTTTGTGACTGTGTTGAGACTTCGGATCCGTTGAGACGAATACTGTAAACCCGTTAGATAAATTCAAGTCCTCGTGGAAGTTTTGAAGGTGAATACCAAATTGAATCGTGTGAGGATCCTTTTTTGAGCAAAGCTTTTACCATCGTTTTTAACAGCTGATCTTCTTCTGACCCTTGAGCTAGGATTTCTGTGTTTAATAAAGAGTTGACATCCACATGTTGATTAAACGACAATACCGAAGTATTAGGTCAATTTCACTTTAACTATTCATATTCACAAAATTTAAAATAGTTGGAACAAATGGGTTTTTTTGTTCCGATTTTCGAAGAAAGTAAGGAATATATACGCTTGGGGTGGTTTTTTTATTCAGACCAATTCTCATAAATATTTCCATGGATCGATCCATAGATCTTTGTGGTCCTAGAAGCGGCTTGCTCACCACTAGACTGAAAGGTTGCTGTGAAACGTTTGCTAATAGACTAACGTGACAAAAAGCGCGTTAATGCTTTGATGCTGATGTGGCGACTTATCCGGCACCACAAAATTGTTCCAGATTCAATTGAGGCAGGCTAATCGGTCTTTCAAGTCAATAAACAATTCTTAATATGCAGCTTAAAAATCATAGTTTTTCATCAATATTGTACCAACGAAAAACTATTCGAGATTAGTTTATGGACATTCGGAATATTCAGGGCTTTACCCTGACACGAGCAGTCTTGTGTTATTTCAACTCAAAAAGGATTTGAGTTGAAATCGGGAAAACAAGTTTTAAAGTTAATCTAGGGGAATACCTAAATTCGGAACGAAAATGTTACCGTTGCCAATTTAGAGAGCTCAACTGAATACTTTGAAGGGAGCTAAAAAAACGTTTTGAAAGTTTTCAATTGAATCAATCATACTGCAGCTATTAATTTAATTCAAGTCAAAATATATTTAGGAAAAATCTTTCAGGCAAATCAGTTTGGTAATGAGTTTTTCTCGAGGTCTTTTTGATCGCTATCAAAATTTCCTTGACGCTTACGATAAAGTAATCATCCGCATTACTTACCCAGAAATAATTGTGGTGACTAAGTTATCAATTTTGGTCTTTCCTTTCGTTTCATTTATTAAGAGTAACGAACGTAGTGAAAACTCGTTTATAGGTCTTGCTGATTTTTTTTTGTTCAGGAAAAAGTCTTAGAACATCCGTTGAAAGTGACCTAAATAGCACTTTACAAATACGAACGTGGAAATGGCGCAAAAAGAACGAACAATTCTTGTTTCGAAAGTGGAATTTAATTTTTAGATTTTCAGCAGAATAAACTTTACCTGTTGATCCATTTTTCTCAAGATGGATTAATGTTATCAAAAAAGCGCCAGTCGTAAAACGTTCTGGAAATTCAAAGAGCTTAAAGGGCATCTATTTTTTGTTGAAATTCGAAAGTTGAGATTTTTTTAAAACAAAGTCAGCGTCTTTTTTGTTTACTTGCGTTCATGTCTTTCATTTCTTGGTTAATTGCCTTCTTTAAATAGCGAATTGCATTTGGTAGACCCTCCGTCACATTTCGTGTAGTTTTTTTTTTGATCTTTCATTGGCGTTTAAATTATCCGTTTGCGGAAGATTTTCTCTTGAAGAGTTTTCTTGAATAGTAAGTTTTTGGTCAATTATCCGCTTGCCCCCATTTCCTAGGTCGCTTAGTAGATCATCGAGAGCAGTTTGTTAGAATTTTTGAAATGCATTCCTTTTCGTGTTTGTTTCATAAGCCAGTTTTCTGCGTCAGACTGGCTAATCTGGCAGTCTCGAATTTGATTTCTGTTGCTTGTTTTCAATCATTAAAATAATTTAGCAAGTTTATTTTATATAATATAAGTAACATGGAACAATTTTTCCTTGTGTGTTTTTTTTTCATGTAATATCCACGAGAATGTAATGCATTTGTTATCTCAGTGAATCGAAGCTGATATTCGCCAGAAAACTGCTGCAATTACCAGAGAAAATATAATGCTCAAAAGCTTGATTTCGTGAAGTAATCTTTCGTTTTTGAAACCGGAAATCTTGAGTTCCTAAGATTTTTTTTAGCAAACAAGTATAATTGTTTTTCTTATGTTCCAGTTCTCTAATAACACCTTCAAAATTGAATGGAATAAAAATTTGACATCCACTGCTGGGCGAACTAACTGTGTATCGAAGAAGGAGGTCTACAGAAATGTAGATGGATCAAAAGGAAGTAAAGTTGTCGAGAGATTCGCCACTATTGAACTGGCAACAAAAATTCTTGACAGTGCTGGTGAGTTAACAAAATTGGATGACAGAAAAAATCCTGAGTCACTTTTTGGCTAAACTAAAGATTTTTTTATTGCTTGATCAATTTATTAAGTTCACTTATTTACAATCGGATATGTTTTTGTGCTAGTTCGGAAGTTCTGTAATATGTAATTTGACTCTTGTTATCTAATATAATACTTGGCGATTAAGTCGCGCAATTAAGTCACTTGTTTAAGCTGTGTAGTTTTTGTTGTTCTTTTTTCAGGGATAATTTTTTCACGCTCATTAGTTTGGTTTGACTTCCTTGTTAAGGTCTTTTGTCAAAACGAATGCAAATAGCGCTCTCCAATTACGGAAGGACAGATAACGTGAATTAATTGAGGGTTTCGAAAGCAGATTTTGTTTTTCAGATTTGCCAGCGAAATATAAAAAGTACATAGTGATCCAGTTTTCCCCAAATGGGGCAGTTTTTTGAAAAAAAAGTATCAATTTCGAAATATGTCATTGTTGGAACATTTGAGTTCATTGACATCTTTCCAGCTTGTCTGTTGGCTATGTTTTTTTCATCCGTTAGGAGCACTGCGAGAACTTAAATGGAAACATTTTCAAAGCGTACGAAATCCAATTAACCTGATCCAAAACTTGGAATAATTTTTTGGCGACGATGAGAAGTTTCACTGATTATAAAAGCAACGCTTGTTAAGATTCGTTTAAGGCAGTGAAGTCTCTTATATAGGTCGTTATGATTTTTTTTTCATAGAATTCATTGAAATCATAGAATTGACCAGGCTTAATTTTGATTTCTCGCTGTTTGATTTTGATTTTTTTTCTAGTTTCAAGTTCAGTTCCTTTCCTTTGTTTAAAGGAACACTAACTCCGCTATCGAAAAACAAGTGGAAAGGTCACGGAAAATGTGATCAACTTTTAGTTTCGAAAATGGATTTTAATGTTCAGATTTTCCAGCGGAATAAAAGTTTGCCGATTGATCCAGTTTTCCCACATTGGGTTCGTTTTATTGAAAAAAGTTTCAATCATAAATTGATCTAGAAATTCAAACAGTTTTAAGTCCATCTGTGTTTTTTTTTCTGAAATTCGAAAATTTAGATATTCAGTGTTTTCTGTTTACTTGGGTTCATTGACTTTTATGTTGTTATAAAAGCCTTCATTGACTCCATTGATGTTGTTAAAAAAGCAGTCAATTTTTTCAACGTAACTCACATAGAAATTCTAGAAGCAAGCAAAGCCATGAAAGCTAGCGATTTTTATAAGACCAGCTTTTGTCGAACCTGAGACATTTTTTTTGGAATCGGAATCTCGGCTGAAAGGGCGGTAATATAAAATATGAACTGGTTTCACACGGGCTTACTTTGAGGCATCAAAATAAGAAATTATAAAACAAACTTTGCGATAGTTTCTTCGCTTCTTCGTGAAGTGGTCCAAAAAACTGAATGAACGATTATGATTCGTTAACAGTAATGCTGCCGAGTCGTCTTTCAAGCTAGTTTTGTTTGGTTCTTCTGTTTTTTTTTTTTGGATAGTTGCTGGCTTAATGAACGGTTTTTATAACAAATCTATTATAAGCAAGATGTTAGTGTGAAAGCAGTGTTTGGGGGTAATTTATGAAATGCAATACGTGTTTAGACAGACTGCGAGACACTCTGATCCACGAGATGTGTCACGCGGCCGTGTGGGTGCAGACGGGAGATAGGAGTGCAGGTCATGGCCCACTGTGGAAAAAGTGGGCCAACTGGGCCACTCTGTTGTTCCCCTCTCTGCCTAATATCACCCGCTGCCACAACTATGCCATTAATTACAAGTTCTACTACATCTGCACCCAGTGCCACTCACAGTTAGTTGTTCTCATATTCTGTCAACCTACTCTTTTTAAACACAAGGGATGATCCCACCGTCTTTGATGAGTCCCATTCAACAGCTCGTCTAGAACTGTAGTCCCGCTAGACCGCTTAAATTATACTTGAAGTAATTTCAAGTGTATGAAAGCAAAAAGGAAACCTGTAAACATTTCTTCCTTAGATTTGCCACTAATGTTTTCTTTAAAATGGAGTTATCAGAAATATCAGTTCACTTGCAAAAGTTAGAAACTACCTTTAAAATGGTGCTAGGGATTTCAACATACCGGTTTTTTAGCCGACCAATCTTTTAGCGGACTCAGAATAGTTATAAAGTCAGAAAGCTAACTTCAAACGCGGCATTGTCGATTAGCGACCGTTTGCTCTGCTGCGCCTCAATTCAAGACAAGTGTTATTGTGCGCGAAATCATAGTTTTGCCGCTAATTTAGACTGTTGTGTTTTTGAAGTTCATAGTTTCATTGAAAAATTGTGAGATAATTGTCTTAATTGGGGAAGCTTGATCCCTGACTGAGCGTCATTTTGAGTCTGATAGTCAATCGTGTGTCATTTTATTACGCTGGTCTGCTGAAAGACTCAATTTTCATTTTTTTATGGTTAAAGATCGGCCTCCCTTTAAAAAATTTGTTTTTCTGACATTTATATGGGACCAGTGGTAGTTTTATGCGAACATACCTCTAAACGACATTGTTAGTGGGACCATACTTCTAAACGAGTACCCAAGGGAGTTAAGTGTTTAAAATTTGTTTCTGACTACTCGCAAAAGATTCCGGCACAAAGCAAAATTTCTATTTTTAAAGGCTTATTTTGCCTTTTCTTTTTTCCTTTGTTTACTTTTTGCCGTTTTCTCGCTTGTCTGCGAATTGCCTGTCTTTAGGCTGTAATGGTGACCCTGAGTAGTCGTAAGAATAAACAATCTATTTCAAAGTTGAAAGAAAAACTCATGGAAAAATCAAACACCCTGAAATTTACAACTATTGTATAGATTATTGTTTACTCCTAGCTTTTCGGGAAGTCGTATAATCCTACATCGTTATAGGTCTTCATAAGCTTCGAGGTTCAAGTACTACTCGTGTTAGTGGTTTGACTTTTGATGTCTTTTGCAGTTTACTTCCTATTAATTTGCTAAAGGGGAAGGCAAGGTACCTTCTTCATTGATAAAAAGCAAATTGCACAAAAAACGTGAATGATTTTAATTGTAACTGAATGTAACTGAAAAATACCGAAAAAAGCATGGTTTTTTTGGGATATATAACTTTATTGACACTTCCAAACTTTATTTATGTATGATATCATATGCCGTAGGCGTGTAAAAAACACTGTTTTTTGTAGGCTCGGTAGATTCAGCAAGTCAGTCGATCTTGCAAAACAAGTCTGTGGTCGATGTCACGGCAAATTTCAATTAGTGAGAGGGGAGGAAGTGAACAAATGGACTGAATTGGAAAGAGTCGAGCAATTGGGAAATGTTGGTGTTCAAGAGCAGAAACAGAAGACTCCGAGGACTCCCAATGTCTATGCGCAGTTTATTAAAGACAACTGGACTACTGTCCAAGCCAAGAATCCAGGCATGTATGATAAGATCACCATTGTTTAGATCGCAAATTTAGATCGTCGCTTCTCATTCTGAATGATATCATAGACTTGTATGACAAGAGTTGTATTAGCAGGCTTGTTTTGTATTAGCAATTTAATTATGTACCTGAAATAAATATCAGATATGATCAAACAGTGTGACCAAGTCGGTCCCCTTGTACCCTTTTTGGTACCCTCTGCGTTCAGTTGTTCCCTTTTTCAATTCTGACACGGGATTAAAAATTTTCAAAGCTGGGTAGATCAAATCTGGGACATGATCAACTGGGTTCATCATGGGAGGTATCGTATCATATTGAATTTTTGATTTGTTTTCCAAAAAGTTTGGTTTGACTAAAATGTGCTATCGAAATCTAATCATTTTTTGATGTATTTAAGCCAAAATTAAATGTTAACAGACACTGTACAAAATTACCGCGTCTGATTTTTTCATAAATTATCTTTTACCCCCTTTTCTCTAAGAACCCTTTATATCGGAGGTTGAAATGTTTAGGAATGCCGTTTGCGGAAGTTCGAAGAGAGATCAACAAGTTGTACCATCAGAAGAATCTAAAGAAATCTGGCAATCACGAGGTTCAGATTGATTGAATTTAAACTGTTTCGCGTGAACGTTTGACTGTGTTTGATTTTGTTGTTTTGAATCTATTGTTTTAGCTAGGCTCACTTGATACATTCTAATCAATTGAATTGTGGTTTTATTTTTGTCTGTTTTTTCCTTATGTCCTAGCCTGATAAGGTTGATGTAAACAAGATGTTCCACTGTTAGGACTTTTCTCGAGAAGAGGGTTTGAACTAAACGGGGTAGGGTGTGTTTGTTTTCGGATGGTTTTTGACTCGTCAAAGAACCCGTAGGGGTCAGATTCTGTTCCTAGGAATTTTTTTCAAGGCTTTTTGTTTAATTAAGTTTTTTGAGCTCCTCAGCATTTTGTTTTAGGTCATTACACTTACGATCAGCGTAGTGTATTAGTACGAACCTGCTTTTTTTCCTAACCTAACTCGCAAATAAAAGTGTTCATTGAAAATGTTCACTTATTCGGTGGTACTTTTACTATAATCAATCTGTAGCAGTGGAAATTTCATAGCATCTATTCTCTGCTTTATTTGTGGCTAGTTTTGATGGCTAGTTTTATTTGTGATTAAAATGCATGTTCTGATTACCGGAAACTTAAAAAGCAGCACTCATTTTTTAAAAATTTTTTGTCATCAGTTGTAAAGTACATATGAATCGCGTTTTGAACTGGGTTTATATAAAGACAATAAGAGCCGGTTATCGCTGCAAACTCAAATCGAGAGTTAAAAATAGCCCTAAAATTTTGGCTCAGGGGTCTTTGACATATTGATGAGTGTTTGGGATTAATGCGGCTGCTTTCCTATTTTGAGGATAGTGAGGCTGAATCATTTTGGTTTGTTCATACGGACCACCGTTTAAGTATATCAGCATGTTTTGATAACCAAAAACTTAAAAAGCAGCATCAATCAAATAACTGTATCACAAAAATTTGACCTGAGTTATGTCATTTCGTTTTACAATGAATTGATATTTGAAATGCAATTGTATAACATGCAAAAAACTTGCATACAATTTTTAAAATTATATCATTCTAAAACAACCATTAGTTTTCTAAAAATGCATTGAGTGAATTTTGAATAACTAAGAAATATTGGTCGAATTTTTAACATACAGATTTGATTTACTAAATTTTCCAAAACACTGTATTGGCAGAATTCATAACTTTTACAATAAATTTAGAATTGATTTGGCCGAAAGAGGGTGTCGTACAAAAATAGCAAAAGCCAGCACTCTGGGTAGTTAGGGGATCAAATCACCGAGGCGCGGCTTCCTCCACGCCTCCGTTATTTTAAAAACAGTCTTCCCTCGATTAGTTCTCTACCCCAAGCGTTAAGCAAGTTGTGACCGGTGTCAAATTATGGATCAACTTTGAGCTCAAGGCATTGATGTTTTTGGGAGGTTGCGAGCTTAACAACCGAAGTTTGGTTTAAAAAAAACAAACCAAAAATAGCTTTCCTGCAAGTTTCGGAACTACAGTTGTTATGAGGCATAAATGACTTGAATGGTTGTAATCAAAATAGCATTATAGCTCATTCTGAATTTGAGTTAAGGCTTAAATTTTGACGATGGAGGATTACTTTGTAGACTTCGTGCCAGCAGCAATTCATAATAATCACCATTCCATGTTTGTGTCGGCGCCCAATTTTCCCATGTATTGAAATAAGGAAGCAATTGAATGCTTTAAAACTCGAAAAAGTTATCGGATTACGTGTACTTATTTAAGGCAGGGGCGGATTTGGGGGGGGGGGGGGCGTACGTTCCCTACCCTCAGGGATTCGACCCCCTGCCGACCCAAAGGGTCCCCCCTTTGGTACTTTTTAACGCCTTTTTTGGCCTATTTTTTCAAAAATTTGCCTGTGGCGCACAAATTCTGGCCAAAATAGGAATAAAACAGTGCTTTAAGAGAACTCGAAAAATCAATTTGGTCGACCTAAAAAACAAAAAAAAATTTCGACAAAATTTTCGAAGTTTTTTTGGAAATCCGCCCCCCCTCGAGAAAATCATAGATCCGCCCCTGATCTAAGGCATACAGTTTTTTCTATAATGATAAAGGGAGCATACGTTTTTGTACTGTGACAAGAAAGGCAAAAAGATTGAATTGTTTACAGTTTTGTCTAAAAATCTGTAAAAAGCAGCACTCAATTTTTTTTGCTTTTCTCATCAGATGTTTAATATGTTTAATTTTGTGCCCTTTTTTGAATCTGTAAAAGCTACCAAAAATATAGGTAAAAAATGGAATGGCTTCATTTTTATTTTCTTATTGCTTTTATGGTACAATAATATTAATTGACAACAAAATTAAGTGTTGTTGTTTTTGCACGTAATACTGTTCGTTTATTTAGTGTTTTTTGTTAAAAGAAATTTTTACTAGGAATAATAAAAGTTTTTAAAGCATTCATAATCAAAAATCTTAAATACGTCTAACACAGTGCATTTTCACGCTAATAATTTTTTTCGCAAGTGTGTTTTTTAATCCCTTTTGTCTATTTTTGTGGAATGTAATAATGTTTACAGGACAGTTAAGTCAGATAACTGTAAATTTACCCAGAAAACTGTAACAGATAACCAAGCTCAAATCGTTTTTTGACAGAAAAAAATAGTAAAACTTGTAGAGTAACCTCTTTATTATCGGCGAGCTAGCCTATATCAGACAAAAAACTAAAACAATATCTGTATCAGACTTTTAATCGTAATTTTCAATATCCGAAGTTTTCTCTGACAGACTTTTCGAAATTTGAACGGTCGTTTTTGCTGTAAAACTAAACTACATGAAAAAATTGATTAGACAACATGTCAAATTTCAAGCAAAGTGGAAGTAATTTGACATGTTGAAAAAACATGACCTACAAACATGATTTCGACGAAAATATATCTGAAAAGGCGTTGAAAACTGTAAAAACTTATGTGTTTCGAGCTCAAGCCGCCATATGAAGTTATTCAAAATCACTAGAAAAAGAAAAGGAAAAAAATGTTTTGATCAAATTAGTTCAATTAGTCGAACTTGCTAAAACATAATTTAGTACCATTACTGCTAGATGAGTAATAATAAAAAAACTCATACATCGTTATCAAAAATTGACACAGCATAGTTTCGTTAAATTCAAAATCTACTAGAAATGCCGTAATTACTCATTCTCGGATCAAACTCAAAACAATTTTTACAACAGTTTGATATCAATTCTTGTGAACGTTGAAATGGATCTTTCATATCGTTTAAACGCATTTGAACGTACATAATCTTCTTTTGTACAAAATTATGTACAAAACCTAAAGCTTATGCTAAGTTGCCCCACTGACTCATCTACTGAAGTTAAAATTGGTTGCAGATAAAGTTTTAAAAGAACTGTTTTCTCGTGGTAGACTTTTTTTGGAACTTGCGCAGCGTACATTTGATTGGCTCTATTTTGAGAACTATGTTCCAAAAGTTGGTAATTATTTGTGATATAACTCTTTTTGATATGAAAATTCCATTTTTTGCTTTCGTTTGTAAAAAACTGTGTCGGAACATTTCCATGATGGCATGAACATAAATATTACATTGCCTTGATGGCTGATTTCGTATTTTTGACTGACATTCAAAAACAAGCACTTCTCTTGTTTCTTTTCAGTTAAACGTGCTTAAAAAAGTTTTCAACTAAATATCTTGAAAAAACTTTCTAAACCTATGAAACAAGCTTGATGGATACCAACTGAAAAGGAATTACATTAAAAATAGCAATACTAAATGTTTCTCATCGAACTGGCTGGTTTTTTCTAAAAACTTTACAACTTAACAAGTAACTCTAGTTATTTTTGTATTACTGTGTTGAATTCAATAAACCGGATTTGAAAATAGAAAAATTGAATACGCTGATTCAAATTTAGTAGATAAAAAACCACAACACGAAAAATCTTGCCGGAGTTAAGTTATGACCCCAGGTTTGGCCTAAATTAAGGTAAAATCTCGCTCTTTTTATCAGATCAAAAACTAAGCTGAAGGCACCCAATCGATGTCGAGGTTTTCATACCAAAATGAAACCGGTCAGTTGATGTTGAAAAGTCAAACTAAAGTCCAGCACAGTCAAAGCGGGTCGAGCACATTCAAAAATAGGACGAGCACAGTAGAAACATGAATCGATCTTAGTCGAAACATCTTGTGGATTGGGTTGAGAGAGTTGCTCGTTGATTGAATTGTAATTGTTTCAAACAAAGTAATATCTCTTTACAGACCCAATTTTGTTACTTGTCTTTTTTTGCAATAAATCAAAAATTATTTCAGAAAACGATCTAGTTCATAATGGTTTGTTGATTAAATGGCAGAATCAAGCTGAGAGCCAATCAGAATTGACCATTCTTTGAGCTCGATTTGAACAGAGTTTTTTAAGTTAGCTTCGCTTTTTGCTAGTTCTACAACTCGACAACACCACAACTACAACTCTACAATGGCACCCAAAGTCAGCGGAAAGGCAGTCAAGAAGACAGGCAAAGCCCAGAAGAAGCCCACCGGAGACAAGAAAAAGAAGAAGAAGAGGCGAGAGACCTACTCTCTCTACATCTACAAGGTGCTGAAGCAGGTCCACCCTGACACTGGCATCTCATCCAAGGCTATGTCGATCATGAACAGCTTCGTGAACGACATCTTCAAGAGAATCGCCGTTGAAGCTTCCAGACTGGCCCACTACAACAAGAGATCAACCATCTCTAGCCGGGAGATCCAAACCGCAGTCCGACTGCTGTTGCCCGGTGAGCTGGCCAAGCATGCTGTCAGTGAGGGAACCAAGGCCGTCACCAAGTACACCAGCTCCAAGTAGAAGACCAGCCTCTACACGTAGTTGCTCTGAGCAACACCAAACCGGCCTTTCTAAAGGCCACCAAAAAGCATAGTTCCCTAGCTAGCAAGCTCAAATAGGCTTGTTTCCAAATTCGAGCCCAGAGGAGCTATCTTTGAGCGTCTAATTTGGGTTACCAAGCTCAACTTTGCTTGTAACTAGCCTAAATCAGCTCCAGATTAATTCTAGAGCTTAAATACAGCAAGAGTTTAGGCTTTCATCTCTCAGCCGATCAGATTTAAGCATAGTTTGAGCTTTCGTGGGTTCTCTAACTCACAGATCACAACAGCTTACTTTGAGCTTCCTAATCAAACTAACAAGCTCCATTCAACTAGCTTAAGCTGAACTGAGCTGTTAGCTAGCTATTATAAGCTTTGAGTCAACTCAAGAGCCAAAAACATCAAAATTTCATGTTTTCACATCTCAACCAATCAGATTCGAGCTTAGTTTGAGCTTTCTTTCTCCTCAGAGATGGGCCAATTACCTTTGCTACTTTTGGCGGGGAAGCCAAAACCCAAGTATAAATATTCGACACTTCACATACTTTACTATATATAAATGAAAATGCTCCTTAATATATCTAAGTAACGACTCACCAGAGCTCTTCTTCTATTGATCCACAGGACACCAACTTGTGCGCGATCCACGCCAAGAGAGTCACGATTATGCCCAAGGACATCCAGTTGGCTCGACGAATCCGAGGAGAGCGAGCTTAAGCTCAAGGTGTACTCCACACCAACCAAACCGGCCTTTTTAAAGGCCACCCAACTATAAGTTCTATAATTCTTCACATTGAGCCTCGCTCAAGCGGGCTTCGACCAGAGGAAGCTTGAGCTGGTCTAGGTTGAGCTCTGCTTCCCCCTCATTGGGGTAACGCAGCTGGAAAAAGAGCTCGAGCTAGCTGTTCAATTGCTCCCGTACGTAGCCTAACTTTTTTGAGCTTCGAGCTCGCAGAGCTCGGCAAGCTACCTCATAGAGCTCAGGCAAGCTTGTATAAGCTTGATTTAAATCACAGAGCTCGAATAAGCTCTGTCGACTGACCAGTTTAAGCTAGTACACCTTGTGTGAGCTCAAAATTTTTTCAATTGCTCCCGTACGTAGCCTAACTATTTTCAACTTAGAGCTCTCAGAGCTCGGCAAGCTATCTCACAGACCTCGAGCGAGCTTCTACGAGCTTGATTTAAATCACATAGCTCTGATAAGCTCTGTGGACTGACCAGTTTGAGGTAGAAGGTCTTGTGGGAGCTCAAAAAAAAAATTTCAATTGCTCCTTTACGTGCCTAACTTTTTTAAATACTTATTATCTGCTCTCTCATTGGCTGTTGGTATGAGGGCCAATCAGAGAGCAGAGAAGTCGGTCGAAAATTGATAGGTACCTAGCGATTTTTGCCAATCTCAAACCCAACTGCTACTTCAATTTCTACAACAACTACAACTGCAACAACCATGTCTGGACGAGGAAAGGGAGGAAAAGGACTTGGCAAAGGAGGAGCAAAGAGGCACCGAAAGATCTTAAGAGATAACATCCAAGGCATCACCAAGCCAGCCATCAGACGTCTTGCTCGACGAGGAGGTGTCAAGCGTATCAGTGGACTGATCTACGAAGAGACCCGAGGAGTGCTCAAGAACTACTTGGAGAGCGTGATCAGGGATGCTGTAACCTACACCGAGCACGCCAAGAGGAAGACCGTTGTAGCCATGGACATCGTCTACGCCCTCAAGAGACAAGGCAAGACCTTGTACGGATTCGGAGGTTAAGAAGCTTCTTAGCCAGCTGCTCTCCTAGCTGCAGCACCAAACCGGCCTTTTTAAAGGCCACCAACTATCTCAGTTCTTAAGTCAAGCTCTACTAGAGCTCTAACGAGCTCTGCTAGAGCTCTAACAAGCTCAGCTAGTTAGTGTAGAGTTTTCAGCGTATCTAAATTAACTTAAAATGCTAGCTCGATTCTGATTGGCTCTCCCATCTTGGTGGCCGATTTGAACTTACTACCCTAAGACAGGGAGCCAAATTGCGGGTAAAGTCAATCGTCAATCTACAGCTTCTACCACAACTACAACACGATGTCAGGCAAAGGAGGAAAATCGAAGAGCGGCAAAGTTGGAGCCAAGGCCAAGACCCGATCAAGCCGAGCTGGACTGCAGTTCCCTGTTGGAAGAATCCACCGATTCATCCGCAAGGGCAACTACGCTGAGCGAGTTGGTGCTGGAGCTCCAGTCTACCTTGCTGCTGTGCTCGAGTACTTGACTGCTGAGATCCTTGAGCTGGCTGGCAACGCTGCTAAAGACAACAAGAAGTCCAGGATCATCCCCAGACACTTGCAGTTGGCCATCAGGAACGACGAAGAGTTGAACAAGCTGCTCCACGGAGTGACCATTGCTCAGGGCGGTGTGCTGCCAAACATCCAGGCTGTGCTCCTACCCAAGAAGCAGTCTTCGTCTCAGCCCAAGTCTGACAAGAAGTAAAGAGCTTCTACCTCAACCAGTTGCTAGCTTTCAAGCTTCAACACCAAACCGGCCTTTTTAAAGGCCACCAAACTTAAAGTTCTATCTTTTTATCCTGCCTAGCAGGCATAGCTACGCTACTCAGAGCAAACCATGGGGGCCTAACACAACTAGCTAGCCTCGAGCTCGACTGGCAGTCCAAAATTGAAGCTTAATTTAGCTTTCAGCTGAGAGCCAATCAGAATTGAGTATTCTTCGAGCTCAATTTGAACACAATTTTTCAAGTTAGGTTGGCATTTTTGCTCGATCCACAACTCAACACCACTACAACTACATCTCTACAATGGCACCCAAAGTCAGCGGAAAGGCAGTCAAGAAGGCAGGCAAAGCCCAGAAGAAGCCCACTGGAGACAAGAAAAAGAAGAAGAAGAGGCGAGAGACCTACTCTCTCTACATCTACAAGGTGCTGAAGCAGGTCCACCCTGACACCGGCATCTCCTCCAAGGCTATGTCGATCATGAACAGCTTCGTGAACGACATCTTCGAGAGAATCGCCGGTGAAGCTTCAAAACTGGCCCACTACAACAAGCGATCAACCATCTCTAGCCGGGAGATCCAAACCGCAGTCAGACTGCTGTTGCCCGGAGAGCTGGCCAAGCATGCTGTCAGTGAGGGAACCAAGGCCGTCACCAAGTACACCAGCTCCAAGTAGACGACCAGCTTCTGCAACTAGTTGCTCTGAGCAACACCAAACCGGCCTTTTTAAAGGCCACCAAAAAGCATAGTTCTCTTTGTACTCTAGCTAGCAAGCTCAAATTGGCTTGTATGCAATTTCGAGCTCTCAAAAGCTAGCTTTGAGCATCTAATTTGAGCTACTAAGCTCAACTGAGCTTGTAACTTGCTTAAAATAGCTCCAGATCAATTTAAGAGCTAAAAGACAGCAGAATTTTAAGCTTTCACGTCTCAGCCAATCAGATTTGAGCTTCCTTGTGCTCTCTAACTTACAGCTCGAAATAGCTAAGTTTGAGCTTCCAAAGCTAGCTAACGAACCCAATTCAGCTAGGATAAGCTCAATTGAGTTTGTAGCTGGCTGACATTAGCTTTGGGTCAATTCTAGAGGCAGAAACACCAAATTTTCAACTTTTCACTTCTCAGCCAATCAGATTCGAGCTTAGTTTGAGCTTCCGCTATCACTCAGACACGGGCCAATCACCTATGCCGCTTTTGGCGGGTAACCTCCAACCCAAGTATAAATAGTCGGCACTTCACATACTTTACTATATATATAGTTGAAATTGCTCCTTAATATATATAAGTAACGACTCACCAGAGCTCTCCTTCTATTGCTCTTTTACGTGCCTAACTATTTTTTTATACATCGAGCGCTCTCAAGGCTTCTGGAGATCTGAATCTCTAGGTTACCTCACGGATTTTCACAAAATTCAACACCCAAAATCTACTTCTACATCTACAACTCAGCTACACTCAACTGACGAAGAATGGCCCGAACGAAGCAGACTGCACGAAAGAGTACCGGAGGAAAGGCACCCAGGAAGCAACTGGCTACCAAGGCTGCAAGGAAGAGCGCACCTTCCACCGGCGGTGTGAAGAAGCCTCACCGATACAGACCAGGAACCGTTGCCCTGAGGGAGATCAGGAGATACCAGAAGTCCACTGAGCTGTTGATCCGAAAGCTGCCCTTCCAGCGACTGGTCAGAGAAATCGCCCAGGACTTCAAGACTGACTTGCGGTTCCAGAGCACTGCCATCATGGCTCTGCAGGAAGCCAGCGAGAGCTACTTGGTCAGCCTGTTCGAGGACACCAACTTGTGCGCGATCCACGCCAAGAGAGTCACGATCATGCCCAAGGACATCCAGTTGGCTCGACGAATCCGAGGAGAGCGAGCTTAAGCTCAAGGTGTACTCCACACCAATCAAACCGGCCTTTTTAAAGGCCACCCAACTATAAGTTCTATAATTCTTCACATTGAGCCTCGCTCAAGCGAGCTTCGACCAGAGGAAGCTTGAGCTGGTCTAGGTTGAGCTCTGCTTCCCCCTCATTGGGGTGACGCAGCTGGAAAAAGAGCTCGAGCTAGCTGTTCAATTGCTCCCGTACGTAGCCTAACTTTTTTGAGCTTCGAGCTCGCAGAGCTCGGCAAGCTACCTCATAGAGCTCAGGCAAGCTTGTATAAGCTTGATTTAAATCACAGAGCTCGAATAAGCTCTGTCGACTGACCAGTTTAAGCTAGTACACCTTGTGTGAGCTCAAAATTTTTTCAATTGCTCCCGTACGTAGCCTAACTATTTTCAACTTAGAGCTCTCAGAGCTCGGCAAGCTATCTCACAGACCTCGAGCGAGCTTCTACGAGCTTGATTTAAATCACATAGCTCTGATAAGCTCTGTGGACTGACCAGTTTGAGGTAGAAGGTCTTGTGGGAGCTCAAAAAAAAAATTTCAATTGCTCCTTTACGTGCCTAACTTTTTTAAATACTTATTATCTGCTCTCTCATTGGCTGTTGGTATGAGGGCCAATCAGAGAGCAGAGAAGTCGGTCGAAAATTGATAGGTACCTAGCGATTTTTGCCAATCTCAAACCCAACTGCTACTTCAATTTCTACAACAACTACAACTGCAACAACCATGTCTGGACGAGGAAAGGGAGGAAAAGGACTTGGCAAAGGAGGAGCAAAGAGGCACCGAAAGATCTTAAGAGATAACATCCAAGGCATCACCAAGCCAGCCATCAGACGTCTTGCTCGACGAGGAGGTGTCAAGCGTATCAGTGGACTGATCTACGAAGAGACCCGAGGAGTGCTCAAGAACTACTTGGAGAGCGTGATCAGGGATGCTGTAACCTACACCGAGCACGCCAAGAGGAAGACCGTTGTAGCCATGGACATCGTCTACGCCCTCAAGAGACAAGGCAAGACCTTGTACGGATTCGGAGGTTAAGAAGCTTCTTAGCCAGCTGCTCTCCTAGCTGCAGCACCAAACCGGCCTTTTTAAAGGCCACCAACTATCTCAGTTCTTAAGTCAAGCTCTACTAGAGCTCTAACGAGCTCTGCTAGAGCTCTAACAAGCTCAGCTAGTTAGTGTAGAGTTTTCAGCGTATCTAAATTAACTTAAAATGCTAGCTCGATTCTGATTGGCTCTCCCATCTTGGTGGCCGATTTGAACTTACTACCCTAAGACAGGGAGCCAAATTGCGGGTAAAGTCAATCGTCAATCTACAGCTTCTACCACAACTACAACACGATGTCAGGCAAAGGAGGAAAATCGAAGAGCGGCAAAGTTGGAGCCAAGGCCAAGACCCGATCAAGCCGAGCTGGACTGCAGTTCCCTGTTGGAAGAATCCACCGATTCATCCGCAAGGGCAACTACGCTGAGCGAGTTGGTGCTGGAGCTCCAGTCTACCTTGCTGCTGTGCTCGAGTACTTGACTGCTGAGATCCTTGAGCTGGCTGGCAACGCTGCTAAAGACAACAAGAAGTCCAGGATCATCCCCAGACACTTGCAGTTGGCCATCAGGAACGACGAAGAGTTGAACAAGCTGCTCCACGGAGTGACCATTGCTCAGGGCGGTGTGCTGCCAAACATCCAGGCTGTGCTCCTACCCAAGAAGCAGTCTTCGTCTCAGCCCAAGTCTGACAAGAAGTAAAGAGCTTCTACCTCAACCAGTTGCTAGCTTTCAAGCTTCAACACCAAACCGGCCTTTTTAAAGGCCACCAAACTTAAAGTTCTATCTTTTTATCCTGCCTAGCAGGCATAGCTACGCTACTCAGAGCAAACCATGGGGGCCTAACACAACTAGCTAGCCTCGAGCTCGACTGGCAGTCCAAAATTGAAGCTTAATTTAGCTTTCAGCTGAGAGCCAATCAGAATTGAGTATTCTTCGAGCTCAATTTGAACACAATTTTTCAAGTTAGGTTGGCATTTTTGCTCGATCCACAACTCAACACCACTACAACTACATCTCTACAATGGCACCCAAAGTCAGCGGAAAGGCAGTCAAGAAGGCAGGCAAAGCCCAGAAGAAGCCCACTGGAGACAAGAAAAAGAAGAAGAAGAGGCGAGAGACCTACTCTCTCTACATCTACAAGGTGCTGAAGCAGGTCCACCCTGACACCGGCATCTCCTCCAAGGCTATGTCGATCATGAACAGCTTCGTGAACGACATCTTCGAGAGAATCGCCGGTGAAGCTTCAAAACTGGCCCACTACAACAAGCGATCAACCATCTCTAGCCGGGAGATCCAAACCGCAGTCAGACTGCTGTTGCCCGGAGAGCTGGCCAAGCATGCTGTCAGTGAGGGAACCAAGGCCGTCACCAAGTACACCAGCTCCAAGTAGACGACCAGCTTCTGCAACTAGTTGCTCTGAGCAACACCAAACCGGCCTTTTTAAAGGCCACCAAAAAGCATAGTTCTCTTTGTACTCTAGCTAGCAAGCTCAAATTGGCTTGTATGCAATTTCGAGCTCTCAAAAGCTAGCTTTGAGCATCTAATTTGAGCTACTAAGCTGAACTGAGCTTGTAACTTGCTTAAAATAGCTCCAGATCAATTTAAGAGCTAAAAGACAGCAGAATTTTAAGCTTTCACGTCTCAGCCAATCAGATTTGAGCTTCCTTGTGCTCTCTAACTTACAGCTCGAAATAGCTAAGTTTGAGCTTCCAAAGCTAGCTAACGAACCCAATTCAGCTAGGATAAGCTCAATTGAGTTTGTAGCTGGCTGACATTAGCTTTGGGTCAATTCTAGAGGCAGAAACACCAAATTTTCAACTTTTCACTTCTCAGCCAATCAGATTCGAGCTTAGTTTGAGCTTCCGCTATCACTCAGACACGGGCCAATCACCTATGCCGCTTTTGGCGGGTAACCTCCAACCCAAGTATAAATAGTCGGCACTTCACATACTTTACTATATATATAGTTGAAATTGCTCCTTAATATATATAAGTAACGACTCACCAGAGCTCTCCTTCTATTGCTCTTTTACGTGCCTAACTATTTTTTTATACATCGAGCGCTCTCAAGGCTTCTGGAGATCTGAATCTCTAGGTTACCTCACGGATTTTCACAAAATTCAACACCCAAAATCTACTTCTACATCTACAACTCAGCTACACTCAACTGACGAAGAATGGCCCGAACGAAGCAGACTGCACGAAAGAGTACCGGAGGAAAGGCACCCAGGAAGCAACTGGCTACCAAGGCTGCAAGGAAGAGCGCACCTTCCACCGGCGGTGTGAAGAAGCCTCACCGATACAGACCAGGAACCGTTGCCCTGAGGGAGATCAGGAGATACCAGAAGTCCACTGAGCTGTTGATCCGAAAGCTGCCCTTCCAGCGACTGGTCAGAGAAATCGCCCAGGACTTCAAGACTGACTTGCGGTTCCAGAGCACTGCCATCATGGCTCTGCAGGAAGCCAGCGAGAGCTACTTGGTCAGCCTGTTCGAGGACACCAACTTGTGCGCGATCCACGCCAAGAGAGTCACGATCATGCCCAAGGACATCCAGTTGGCTCGACGAATCCGAGGAGAGCGAGCTTAAGCTCAAGGTGTACTCCACACCAATCAAACCGGCCTTTTTAAAGGCCACCCAACTATAAGTTCTATAATTCTTCACATTGAGCCTCGCTCAAGCGAGCTTCGACCAGAGGAAGCTTGAGCTGGTCTAGGTTGAGCTCTGCTTCCCCCTCATTGGGGTGACGCAGCTGGAAAAAGAGCTCGAGCTAGCTGTTCAATTGCTCCCGTACGTAGCCTAACTTTTTTGAGCTTCGAGCTCGCAGAGCTCGGCAAGCTACCTCATAGAGCTCAGGCAAGCTTGTATAAGCTTGATTTAAATCACAGAGCTCGAATAAGCTCTGTCGACTGACCAGTTTAAGCTAGTACACCTTGTGTGAGCTCAAAATTTTTTCAATTGCTCCCGTACGTAGCCTAACTATTTTCAACTTAGAGCTCTCAGAGCTCGGCAAGCTATCTCACAGACCTCGAGCGAGCTTCTACGAGCTTGATTTAAATCACATAGCTCTGATAAGCTCTGTGGACTGACCAGTTTGAGGTAGAAGGTCTTGTGGGAGCTCAAAAAAAAAATTTCAATTGCTCCTTTACGTGCCTAACTTTTTTAAATACTTATTATCTGCTCTCTCATTGGCTGTTGGTATGAGGGCCAATCAGAGAGCAGAGAAGTCGGTCGAAAATTGATAGGTACCTAGCGATTTTTGCCAATCTCAAACCCAACTGCTACTTCAATTTCTACAACAACTACAACTGCAACAACCATGTCTGGACGAGGAAAGGGAGGAAAAGGACTTGGCAAAGGAGGAGCAAAGAGGCACCGAAAGATCTTAAGAGATAACATCCAAGGCATCACCAAGCCAGCCATCAGACGTCTTGCTCGACGAGGAGGTGTCAAGCGTATCAGTGGACTGATCTACGAAGAGACCCGAGGAGTGCTCAAGAACTACTTGGAGAGCGTGATCAGGGATGCTGTAACCTACACCGAGCACGCCAAGAGGAAGACCGTTGTAGCCATGGACATCGTCTACGCCCTCAAGAGACAAGGCAAGACCTTGTACGGATTCGGAGGTTAAGAAGCTTCTTAGCCAGCTGCTCTCCTAGCTGCAGCACCAAACCGGCCTTTTTAAAGGCCACCAACTATCTCAGTTCTTAAGTCAAGCTCTACTAGAGCTCTAACGAGCTCTGCTAGAGCTCTAACAAGCTCAGCTAGTTAGTGTAGAGTTTTCAGCGTATCTAAATTAACTTAAAATGCTAGCTCGATTCTGATTGGCTCTCCCATCTTGGTGGCCGATTTGAACTTACTACCCTAAGACAGGGAGCCAAATTGCGGGTAAAGTCAATCGTCAATCTACAGCTTCTACCACAACTACAACACGATGTCAGGCAAAGGAGGAAAATCGAAGAGCGGCAAAGTTGGAGCCAAGGCCAAGACCCGATCAAGCCGAGCTGGACTGCAGTTCCCTGTTGGAAGAATCCACCGATTCATCCGCAAGGGCAACTACGCTGAGCGAGTTGGTGCTGGAGCTCCAGTCTACCTTGCTGCTGTGCTCGAGTACTTGACTGCTGAGATCCTTGAGCTGGCTGGCAACGCTGCTAAAGACAACAAGAAGTCCAGGATCATCCCCAGACACTTGCAGTTGGCCATCAGGAACGACGAAGAGTTGAACAAGCTGCTCCACGGAGTGACCATTGCTCAGGGCGGTGTGCTGCCAAACATCCAGGCTGTGCTCCTACCCAAGAAGCAGTCTTCGTCTCAGCCCAAGTCTGACAAGAAGTAAAGAGCTTCTACCTCAACCAGTTGCTAGCTTTCAAGCTTCAACACCAAACCGGCCTTTTTAAAGGCCACCAAACTTAAAGTTCTATCTTTTTATCCTGCCTAGCAGGCATAGCTACGCTACTCAGAGCAAACCATGGGGGCCTAACACAACTAGCTAGCCTCGAGCTCGACTGGCAGTCCAAAATTGAAGCTTAATTTAGCTTTCAGCTGAGAGCCAATCAGAATTGAGTATTCTTCGAGCTCAATTTGAACACAATTTTTCAAGTTAGGTTGGCATTTTTGCTCGATCCACAACTCAACACCACTACAACTACATCTCTACAATGGCACCCAAAGTCAGCGGAAAGGCAGTCAAGAAGGCAGGCAAAGCCCAGAAGAAGCCCACTGGAGACAAGAAAAAGAAGAAGAAGAGGCGAGAGACCTACTCTCTCTACATCTACAAGGTGCTGAAGCAGGTCCACCCTGACACCGGCATCTCCTCCAAGGCTATGTCGATCATGAACAGCTTCGTGAACGACATCTTCGAGAGAATCGCCGGTGAAGCTTCAAAACTGGCCCACTACAACAAGCGATCAACCATCTCTAGCCGGGAGATCCAAACCGCAGTCAGACTGCTGTTGCCCGGAGAGCTGGCCAAGCATGCTGTCAGTGAGGGAACCA